TGTCAGGTTGCCTGTAATGTTCAAGAAACTAGCTTGTGTAAAATTATTCTTTTCTAAACTGAAAGAAAAAAATTAAACATAGACAGCGTTCAGCACTTGAAATAAATCAATAGTTCTTAAGATATCTGTATATAGCTAGTTTAAGAAACTAAAACTAGCTGTTAAGCAATTCTAGAAAGCTAATGTTTAAGTTGCATTCCCAATATTCTCATGAATCGTTTTATTTTTAATCTAATTTACTGAAAAAAATTACCAGCTGATACATTCTAAAGTAAACCCTATAAGTAAACTTATCATTTGAAACGATCCTTATTGCTGAAATATTCCAAAGTAAACCTTACTTTCTGCAATGTTTTAAGTAAGTCCTAGTTTTTCATAAGTACTGAATTTCAAAATATTTTGTATAAGATAATCAATTCCCAATTTTTCAATGTGTATAAACAAGCCTAATCAGATAAAATTCCAAACCACATACTTTTTTTTTTTTTTTTTGTCAGTGTGTGGCTTGAACTCTGATCCTGGGCACTGTCCCTGAGCTCTTCACTCTACCACTTGAGCCACAGCACCACTTCCAGTTTTCTGGTGGTTAATTGTAGATTAGAATCTCATGGACTTTCCTGCCTGGGCTGGCTATGAACCATGATCCTCAGATCTCAGCCTCCTGAGTAGCTAGGACTACAGTCATGAGCCACCAATGCCTAGCCAAACCACATACTTATAAATTTCTGAATCTTGTAGACATGTTATGCCTATAATTGGTAGTTTCAGGTACAAAAAATTTCACTTGGTTTTATACTAACTAGTGAGCAATATGTTTTCATTGCCACATTATTCTACCCAATGTTATATACTAGAGAAGGAAAAAAATGAAAATACTGTGGCTTCAGGAAAATGCATGGGAACTTTCATTTACAACACAGTTCATAATCTATGTAAAGATATACATGTAATAAGAAAATAAACATATGATATACACATTATCCACCCAGGTTAATAGAACAAAAGCAGAAAAATAGCTTCCATAGAACACTGCCTACTTGAAGAGTACATCCATGCTGAACTTCAAAAGTATTACCTTTGTTCCTCATGGCACACCTCTGTGGTAAATGCTATTTCTTGTTCAATTTTTCAAATGGGAAATGTGAATTTAAGAAGGTTAAATATTTATTCAAGTTTAAACAACTACCCAGTAGAAGATAAAAACTCCACATCCAAGTGTTTGTCCTCTAAAGCTAATGTGTTTTCAGCCATGTTACATTTATTTTATTTTTATTTTTTCAATAAAGAAAGCTTTATGGAGAGGCTAATTTGAATTTGACCTTGAAAATGTTAGATTCAATAACTAAACAAAAACAGAAACAAAATACAATGTTTACAATGTAGTGATGGTGTTACATGAGGGAAAAAAAAAACAAAACACCAGAAAAGGGGAAAAATTGGTGCATTTTCAGAAAATGAAATATGGAATTGAAGTTTTAGAATATAAACACTGCAAATTACTTGTAAATAATGTTAATTAAATTGCAATTAAACACATCAAGGCGAGAAATTCTGTTTCGTTGTGGCCAACAAATAAGAATTGATTTTGAATTATTCATAGGGAAAAGACTTATCTAACATGCTATGTATGAGAATGCATTGATGATGGAAAAGGAGCAAGGTAAAAACTCATTAGAATTATAATGCAATGAACTTCCATTCAACAATTATGCATTGAGCTCATAGTGATATTACCCTAAGAGGTAGTTGCTGGTATTATAAAGAGCAATTTGAAGTAATCACTCATCTCAGCCATCTCATAGCCTAGTATGCAGACAAATACTTGAAAGTTACAGTTGTGGACAAACTCATAATGGGTTGAAAGGTTGAAGTCCAGCAAAACTTTACCAGAAAATGAAGTTGTTGAAGAAGATTTTGTGTTTACTCAAGTAGATGATGAATGAAGGTCATGAAAGAGTGTGTGGGAATGTATCAAGCATATCTTTAGGATGATTATAAAGTAACAAGATGATTAGGGGAGTCAAAAGAAAGAATAATGTAATATGTTACCAGGAGCAATATCCAGGCAGGTTTTGAAGAACTGTGTGTCCCTCTAGCTACACTGTGAACAAAAGTACAGTTTTATAATTAAATTTACAATTTAATAATTGGTTAAAACCTATAAGCAATGCAAAGAATATTATTCTCAAGTGTGTATACAATTTAAGCCCTTGTGCTAAATCTTTTTTTTTTCCTTTTAAAATTATTCTCTTAAATTTTACTCTTTAGGAAAAGAATTTAACAGAATTTGGACTGGGAAGGTAGAGAGAATTTGAACTGGGAAGGGAGCTGAAAGGCAGCCTATGCAATAAAAAAGTTTTTTTTTTTTTTGAGGGGTCTGGTCATTGGGCCTGAACTCTGGGCCTGGTCGCTGTCCCTCAGCTCTTCAGCTCAAAGCTAGTGCTCTACCACTTGATTCACAGCGCCACTTCTGGCTTTTTTCTTTTTGCTTATGTGGTGCTGAGGAATCGAACCCAGGGCCTCAGGCATGCAAGGCAAGCACTCTACCACTGAGCCACCTTCCCAGCCCTTGTTTTGTTTTGTTTTGCTTTTTTTTGTTTGTTTGTTTTTAAGAAAGTAGGTGTGGGTGCTGAAGACTCAAGTCTGTAATCCTAGCTACTCAGGAGGTTGATATCTATAGATTATGTCACAAAAATACTCCTAAAACTCAAAAAAAGCTAGAAGGTTCTGCTTGTCTCAGACATATACTTGTAACTTAAACGGTCAGATAAGTTTATGTTAGGCGAAATGAACCCCAAGATAAGGACTCAAATGTTTTTTTTTCTTTCTTGCAATTATTTCTACCATATTTATAAGATGATTTCTTTGCTTCTTTGTATGTCCCTCCCCCGCGGTATAAACCCTGCTTTCACTGTACCTGATGTTGGTATAATTTGTGGAGGGGAAGGGAAAAACAAATTGTTTAATAGGGATACAGGTGGACCCATTGCAACAATGAGATGTACAAGACATCATATCGAAAACAAACTTTACAAATTTGGCTTGGGGGGTGGGGATGGTAAGGGATTGTAAGTAGAAACAAAGGAGGAGGCAACAATGCTTGATAAGAAATGTACTCATTACCTTGCTCATGTAATTGCAACCCCTCTGTACGGTATTTTCACAATTTAAAACAAAACAAAAAAAAAAGCTAGAAGTGGCACTGTGGCTCAACTGGTAGAGGACTAGTCTTGAAAACAAAAAGGCTCTGGTACAGCATCCAGGCCCCGAGTTCAAGTGTCAAGACCAGCAATAAATAAATTATAAATAAATAAATAAATAAAATAAAAGTAGGCCATATAAAATAATTTTCATTCAGCAAAAATGATTTCATTTTTCTGTGGAGGTTAAGAAATTTAAGTAAGATTGTAGGTAGAGGAATTTGAAGCCCCAGGAAGGTACAAGTGAAAAGACAAACAAGAAACCAAGCAAATTAATTCTTGGTTGGATAAGACCCAGAGAGTATGGTTTTGATACTCTATATGGGTTAGGAATGCTAGGGTTGGGAAATCAGGCATACATATCTTGCTTCTAAATGGCAGAGATGTAAAAATGCAGACATCTGAGCATTTATCAAGACACATTGCACTATAAACTGACATGCTAAACTAAAACCTCTTGGTACAACTACTTACAGATAAAACAATAGTCCACTGAGAGAAGACAAATATCTGCCCTTTCACAAAATGCACTATCTCAATCATTGTTAGTCAGAAAACACATTTGATGAGGCTTAAATCTATCTTCACTCCTTACTGAACATAAGAAAGTAAGTCACCTCTATGTAAAAAGAATAAAATTGAAAATAATTCTATACTGCAATTCAAGGTGTGTTTATAAAATGAGATTTAGTTTAATATTTGAGGCCTATTTCACATTAATGAGTAAAGTCTATAAATAATTTATAATATAAATATTATTTTTATATACTGGTATAATTTATGTCCTCCTAGTGATACATAATTTCTTCTTCCTTCATTTTTCTTTCTTTTCTTTTTCTTTCTCACCTTTTCTCTTTTGCTCTCCTCTCCCTCCCTCTCTTTCTCTCTTTCAGTCATGGGGCTTGAACTCAGGGCATGAGTGCTTTCCCTTGATATTTTATTCTGCTCAAAGCTAGCACTCTCACACTTTGGACCACAACTCTTCTTTTGGTATTTTGGTGGTTAATTGGAGATAAGAGACTCACATTTCCGTGCCCAGTATGGCTTTGAACTGGGATCCTCATATTTCAACCTTCTGAATAGCTAGGATGAGCCACTAGGGCTCAGACTGGAACATATTTGGTTTTGTATTTTGGGAAAAAGGATGCTCAAACTATGGAATTCCTTTTTTTTAGTTTACTTTATGTAATTTTCAAGAATCCTGCAAGTTAATTGCCAATATCCATATTTCATAGTGGAGGAAAACCCAAGGAGAATAAGTATCTTGCTCAGTGATAAAGGAATGAGGTAGAACAAAACCATTTCAAAATTTTAGCTTGTGCTATTTTAAAGATTAAAAGATACACTTGTTTTAATTCATTACTCCAAAAAAGTGCAAAATATTTCATAACTTAGCATCCTTATAGGTTAGTGTTCCAATCATTTAAGCTAATTTTGATGTCGTTAAGAATCTGATGTATCTTCTAGTCTTTTTTTCTTTTTTCTTTTTTTTTTTTGGTCAGTGATGGGTCTGAACTCTGGACCTGGGCGTTATTCCTCAGCTCTTCAGTTCAAGGCTAGTGTTCTACCACTTAAGCCATAGCACCACTTCTGGCTTTTTCTGCTTATGTGGTGCTGAGAAATTGAACCCAGGGCCTCCTGCATGCAAGGCAAGCACTCTACCACTGAGCCACCTTCCCAGCCCACTCTGGTCATTTTTGTATAGATTCCTTTCATAAGTGAATTATAAGTTATAGTATTTTCTTAGACTTGAACAAGTAAAACTAACTCACATCTTCTTCCTTTCTATATTTTTATTAGGTCCCGAGGAGGTAGAAATCAAGTGCCCCTTGAATCACATTACTTGCCTTGGAACCAACAAATGTGTTCATTTATCCCAGTTGTGCAATGGAGTGTTGGACTGCTCAGATGGGTATGATGAAGGAGCACATTGCCGTGGTGAGTCTGTGTGTGAAATAATGTCAATGAATTATCCAAGTTTGCATAGCAATGAAAGCTGAAGAGAACATATAATCTGTCTTTTTTTTTCAAACATAAACATGTCAGTTACTTGAAAGAGCATGAATTTTACTTCCAGTCAATATGCACTTCAAAGATGTACTTTAGCATTTTATTGAAAATGTCATTAGCAAAATGCACAGACACATTTAGACATTGAAGTTGGACTTTTAAGTATGTACCCTATTATAAAAAGTTATTTTGCTCAAAGGACAAATGAGAAATCTCTTTCACAGTAGACTAGTATCAGCTTATGCATCTAAAAGGTTACTTAAACATAGTACTTGAAGAAATGCTTTTGAAATAAATCCCTGAATGTTTTAGTGTTTATATGTATGTATATCTATACATATATATATATAATTCATAATAACATTTTTGTGATTTTCTGTCAATTAAAATCATCATCTAAATTATAAAATAAGATGTACCTATAAAATATGAGAGAAAAATTAAGAAAAATTTAAGTGCAATTCAATATCCCAGATATTGAAAAAGAACCAAGTTATCAATCAAGAAATAAGGCTGGGATATTCATCCTTGAAAAGAAGCAACTACCCCTGCTTTCACTGTACTTGATATTAGTATAATTTGTGGAGGGGAAAGGGAAAAAACAAATCATTTAAATAGGGATACATGTGGACCCATTGCAACAATGAGATGTACAAGTTGTTATGTCGAAAAAAGAACTTTACAACTTTGGCTGGGTGGTTGGGGCGAGGAGATGGGAAGGGATAAAGGAGAAACAAAGGAGGAGGTAATAATGCTTGATAAGAAATGTACCCATTTTCTTGCCCATGTAATTGTAACCCTTCTATATGGTATTTTCACAATAAAATAAAAAGAAGCAACTACACCAGAAATATTGATTTCACAGTCTCAAATAAAAGATATTATTTCTTTCCAAATGTCCTGTGTAGTTAAAAAAGATTTTTTTAAAAAGTTAAAAAAAGATTTTGTGTAGTTAAAAAAGATTTTAGCAAAAATAGAACACTAAAGGAAACATGTACAATGATTTAAAAGTTTCACTTTCTTTTTAGAGATGCTTTGTATTTCCTGTTAAATAATTCCATTAATTTAGATGCAATTCATTACATTTCATTTGTTATACACTTTCAAGTATTTACTATCAAACAATAAAATTTTCACAGTGCCAGATACAGCTTTGTCGGAGATGACTACATCACTTTAATTTTTATTAAACATATTTCATTGCTAAAAGTATATGAAAATATGACTGCTTTTTATTAATATTCATAGTTTATGATCATTTAATACCAGAGGGCATATGGTCTTTATAAAACCATAGGATTAAAAAATCAAGTCTTCAGAAAAACATAAAAATGAAAATATATTTATTTTGAGCCTTGAAAAGATCATCATATACAACAAGTAATTAAGATTTATGTTATGTATCTGCTGATTTTCTATACTTTTGCTTTTGTAACTTAGTTATAGTTTTAAACAGGAAAGTATTCTATTCTTATTTATATCTTGTGGAAAATATTGTTCCCCTAATTTTTAAGTAAAGATTATTTGTACTATTTGGCCATTTTCTATATTTTTAGAAGTTTAACAAATAAAGAACTAATAAGTCCATTGTATCCAACTATGAAGGACTCAACAAGAACAAGAAGTATATTTGTATCTTTATTTGCTATTTAATTCAGTAGAACATTTTCTCTCCCAATCCCCCTAATATATATGTACATCACACACACACAAAGTATCTTTGGTTGAATACTTATTTACTTTATAAAAATTAATGAGAATAAAGTTAACTTTTGGGAGATTATGTTCTGGAATGGTTTTAGGAATGGTTTTGTGTCAACTGAATAGTTTTCTGAACATTTCTTTCTAGTGGAAATAATGGAAATGTATCTATTTTTAATGATTTTTGATAAAGCTGATACGTTAATTTCCATAATTTGACTCCATTCAAAGAAAGAAAAATGGATTCTTGTGTATCGGTATAGTTATATATAGCACAGTGCTAGTAAAAATTTACAATAGACATGAACACTGTATTTTTTAAAAAATCATCTCTTCCTACACAGTATTACAATGTGATATCAACTTATTGAAATTGCATGGACAATATAAAACTTTCTATAAAACAAAAGGCCTTGCAATCACAGTTACCTCCACTGAAATCTTCACAACCCAGAAGACTGCTGGATGAAAAACAGAGAGTAAATGCAATAAGATGTGTCAGAATTTGATTTTAAAACTTAAAAAAAAGAGAAATCATTATGTAATGAATCATGTGGGTGGACAGAAAAGGAACCTCATTTTAGTGGCAGCACTAGTTAGATAGAATTTGGAATGTAAAGAGGTAATGTACTGAAATATATGAGGGGATCACTCAGGAATATTCATCTCTGGGCCTGTTAAAAAAAGATATGAGAGCTTTTCAGGTCACTTTTACAGAGGATTCTAATTTCTTGACATATAATTACATAACTCCATGTCTGTTATTCATTCTGTCAAATTATATATATATATATACACACATATGTGTGTATATGTGTGTATATGTGTGTATATATATATATATATATATATATATAATTTTGTCCCCACACCTAATTTTCCCTATATGCAGGTCTTTATGCAAGCTAAGCAAGTGCTTTACTAACGACCCACCTCTACATTGCCAGCTCCAACATAAAACTTATATGATCTGAGTTTGCACATCCACTTCTCCTTGACCCACCTAAAAGACTTCTGAGAACTCAATTTTCCAAACCATAGGAATCCTTACTCATTAGAGATGCTCATTGTTCTTCTGTTTTGAAATTTCTAATTTATTTTAGTGTTTATGAGATTGAGAGTCATGATTTGTCCCATGTTTCATGTTCTGATGTGAAACAATGAATATAGGAAATAATAATGGCTATAGGGACAAAATTATATTTTTAATGTGGCAGGAGAAACATGGTAAAATTTGCCCTTTTTTATTTCATTCAATGATGTCAATAAATTGTATTCAACACTGACAGTATTCTAGACAGTTATCTGATAACTGGGCATGTAGAATGCCCTGTTGTCTACTTCAAGAAGGTAACATGTCATGATGGAGACAGACAAAAATGCTGCTAAAGAATAGAATGAGCAGTTTCTGATTTTGCTTGAGGGGATGCAGGAAGATATCCCCAGGGAACTGACAACAGATTTGCATCTCACTTAAGAGTTGCATAGGCAAACTTAGAAAGTAAGAACATCAGTGGCTCAGTGCATGAATGAACATTGGTTACTCAAGATGATCATAAATTCTTTTGATACAAACAAATGGTAGAATTGTTTAGATGAAGACAGATGAGTTTTAAGCTTGGTAACAGATTTTAATCTTGGTAACAGATTTAAAGGAGACACATTAGAGCAAGGATATGTTCTGTGTAACCCACTAAAATGAATTGCATTAATCTGCAAAGGGCAAGAAAGCCAAAAATGATACTGAGATATGTTTAAATATTAAGCATATGTGAGCTACAATATTGTATATTTGCAGCAAGTGATGTATATTCAGTGTTGTTCTATGTCATTTGCAAGCAGTAAAAGACAAGTGAAAGTCAAAATTAACACCATGTGGGACCCCATTCAAGAAATCCATTTCATATGAAAGTTAGGGATTTGAAGGCATATTTACTACTTGAAGCAAACATAATTCTATGAAGCTAATGAAATACTACCTGTGGGATAATGTTTGTTTTCCTTCTTGTCCCTAACCTTTGGTAAACATATGATCATTTCAATATTATTCAAAAGTCTGAGTTATAAGAAACCATCACTTGGTTCTCAAATATGAGGCCAAATCCCTTAAGATTCATTATTTAGTTTTTCACACAAGCAACTTGATATTTTAAAATGCCAAGAATTAGGACAGGTAGTTAAGTTTGAATGATATCCCCAGGAGTCATAGAGAAAAATCAGTTTTGAGAACAAGGTTAAAACACTGTGAACTTGAATTTTAATTCAGCAGTTTTGACTATTGGTCCTTAACATGCCAACTCAGAGTGGTGTATAAAATTGTCATGTCTAAGCATCTTTTCTGATCTATTCTTAAAACAGTGAAAACAAACTTGGAAAAAAATGAACTGAAATGCATTTTTAAACCAACTGTATGGCTTGTCAGTTTTATTAATTTATTAAACAGAAAAAAATGTACTGAGTGAACAAGTTGAACAACTCTATATACAGCATGCATTATTCAATGTCTCAATCAGACTACTAGGTCCATCCCTTGAGAAAAATTAGTGCTTTCATTTGGTTAGAGATATGGAAGAAAAATGAAGTTTAACTCTATGAAGTATATCTTTACTTGCAACATAGGAAAAAACACTTTTGGAATTTCCACTTTCATAGTGTAATTTGGAAGCAATAATGAGAATATTTTTGCAAGTCATTCAATGGATAAAATTTAAATTTTGAATAAAAAATAGTTTACTGCTAGTGTCACCAGAACTGAGAAATATTTGGAAATACCATGTTGCATTGAGTCTAGTATAGAATTATAATAAATGTGAATTCTGTAAAGAAAGTCTGAAAATATTTCAGACCTTACAGCAAGGATTTTCAATGTTAAATTCTAATATTACTGAAAGTGAAAATTGTTCCCCTTTCTCTAGTCTATATTTTATCACTTAGTAATCCTCATTGCACTGAATTACTGTGCTGTGTCCTATGGTTTGAGTAGTTGTCACCTGAAATTCATGTATTGGAACCCAATTACTAAAGTGATGCTGTAAGGGTATAAGGCCTTCTAGAAGGTGATTAGATCCTGAAGGATAAACTTTGCTAAGCGGATAAATGCCCGTTTACATCAAGACCAACAAAAGCCCTTTTACCCAGTCTACTACAGGGGAACACAGCATAAAGCCTGCCTGCCATCATTACTAAGGATGCCTACTTCCCCAAACATTAAACCAGCCAGCACTTGC